GACATAGGCCATGTGAGTCTAGGATGTACTGTGCAGCGCGTTTTCATTAGAGGCTGGGAAGCACCTCTGATCCAAGAGCAGGCAAAATCTTATTTGGAAAGTACTGCACACAGTCTTAGGAATGTCTGTACCGGAAAAAAGACACTAAACTGCTGTTTCACACGCTGAAAGTCATGGGAGAGGGCTACTATGAGGAGAAGAAAAATTAAGAACCTTTTCTCCTGACAGCATGCCTTCTTTAACCATCCAAAAGAGTCTAGGAGGGGACAGGAGTACTTTTTCTAAATATACTTTAGATGTAAAGGCTAGGAAAGGAGGAGAATAAAGTGATCAAGTGGGTATACATTCATTGTGAGTTAATCCAGGTTACTGATTAAAAATAAAATTTGTAGCCATTAGGACAAAGAGGTTGTGGAGCAGTCTTCCAGTGAAAGCCCTGGCAGCAGGATCCTGCTTATTTGCAACATCCACTTTGGTGGTAGGGTCTGTGTGACAGAACAGGAATGATCCAGGAGTTAGAAATTCAAGCTTCAGAGACAAAAGACTGCTGCTATCCAATTTTGTGGTATATCCGAGAGACATTTGAGAAGAAGCCTCTCAGTGTTTTTCATGCTGCTCCATATTTATTTATCTAAATAAAGTCTTCATGACTTTCATTGGGTTGCCTGCATTTTTACTTCCCCTCTTGCTGGCTTTGAGTGAACTTGAGTTCCTACACATCTCTGAGGTACTGAGGACAGGTCACAGGGCCAGATGTACCCTGAGCAGTATCTCCAAACCCCAGTAGTGCCAAAGACTGGTGCAGCTGGCTCGAACACTCATAGTGTTATGCAGTTTGCCAGTTCAGAAGGTAATTCTCACCGAGACAGACTGATGGGGGTTGCTGTCATCTCCTGATGTGTGTTGGGGGGTGACTGACTTTCAAAGATCTCTCAGGAATTTTTGCCAAACATAATTTCTCTTTAGGGGTTTAGGACACTCTTAACACCTTTGACATCTCCTCCTCTTTTCCCCTGGCATATTGGAATTTTTAGGAGGTTTGGTGCCTTACATAGAAAGGGCTAAAGTGTTAATGACTATGGTGGTTTTCCATGTGGCTTGAGGAGGTCTGAGGTTCTTTTAGCTCCTCCTGCTTTAACACCTACTGCTTGGCTTTCTGCAAGAGTGGAAGGCTCGGGCTCAGTAAACTATGTTACTTCTTCTAATCCTACATCCTATGTTCTCCGTAAATAGCAAAACATGGTACAAAATATGCAGAAGATTTTAAAGAGACCCTAGGTCACTGACCTTCATACTGAAACACATCCTCTTGGGTTCTTCTGCCCCATCTGTGCCAGAAGTGGAGGAAACTAATTTGTGACTTACGAATCTCTCTGTCCCTTCGAGGCTAGTTGGGCCTAAAGCAAGATGGAAACCTCGCTAATAACCCCAGTCTTTTGACAGATCGTCCTGTGGTTTGTACAAAAGGAGGAAAGAAGTCCTTATTTTTTCCACTGTTCCTTGTGATGTTGCATAAAGGCAAGTTATACAATAGCTAAACAGGGATTACACAACTGAAGTCCATAAATCTAAATCAGAAACAAAGTCTCTATCCTGCAGTGGACAAACATAAAAATGTGGAAGGGTGAAATTCTGGTCCTAATGAAGTTAATGGCAAAGCTCTTCCTTACTCTGGTGAGATCACAATTTCATCCAAAATCTTGGCTCAAGCCTGAAGTTGGCTGACCAAGCTGGATATATAGAGCATATCCCTGTTAAGTTTTTCCAAGTAGTGGAATAAAATGACCACCCCCCAAGGTTTTTTTTAAGTTTTTTGCTTATGATAAAGAAATGCAGAATTTTACAATCGAGTACTGAGCAACCACTTGCAAACCTGAACTGGAAGCCTAAAAAGGGTCTGATACACTATCTCTCAGTGCAAGAACAAATATTAGCAAATGCTTCCCATGCTTCAGTGTCAATACTTAAAGCCACTAAAAGCTGCTGCTGAGTCACGCTACTTGGGTATCAGAGGGAAAGATGGGAAAGCCTGACCTGTGGGGGTTGGGAGTACAAACAACAAAAAACAGGCATCAACAAAACAAATAAAGCCCTGAAAATGACAAACCTGAGACCTAGGCTCTGCAAGTAAATAACTTTGTGAGACGATCCACTGTGCTACGAGGACTGCAGTGCTGAAGCTGTTTGGCACACAGACCAAACTAATTACTTGACAGTTGTTATAGTTTGGCCTGAGGTGGACAGCAGTGCTTTGTAAGAAAAGCCACTGCAGTTTCTTCATGTCGCTAGGCTCATCTGGTCTATTGAAAACGAGTGCTGTTACACTGAATGCTAGCATGTACACCAGGGCTTCCCCTCCCCCTTGCGCCCCCGCCAAGATTCCTGCCTGATAAAAAAGAAAGGAAAAAAGAACAGAGGAGAAAAATGAAAGCTTGTGCAATCACAGCCACACATCAACATGTATTCCCAGCCCAAAGGTTATTTCTCTCTCCCTCTTCCCTGAAGCATCTCTTAACAACTGAGCTGATTCAATGCAGAATGTCATTAACAATCTAACAGTGAACAAGGACTGGGGATCATCCTTATCTTACAGAAGCAGGCTATAAATAATCATCTTGGGCAAATCTAACATCCTGACAGAGTGGTAGGATCCCAAAAAACTAATTCCAGTGTATTAATAAACACAAATGCTGAACCATTTCTTGCAGAGCTTTTTGGAGCTGTGTAAATACTTCCAACAAGCATCAGATAAAGCTGTCAAGGTTGGGGAAGAATTGCTTCTATGTATGTGATTAAGCCTGAGTAGTTAAAAAGACTTAGCCTGCTATAAACAATTAGGTATGGTAGGTCAGTGTCATCCCAGTGTCATCGCTGACAGTTTCATTACTTAGGTCTGCCATGCACATAATTCTCTAGGCAACCAGCTGGAAAGCCATCATAGTTTCAACTGTTTCATGACCAGCTTCTGACCAGCCTATATATGGCCCAAATAAGGCAGGCCAAAGGCTTAACTGTAACTTCCAAATTTTATCACTGTGAAATATGGTGGCAGAGCAGGCTGTCTGTCCTTCCTCTGCATCAGTTAGAAGCCAGATGGAACATGAGGGGCCAGATAAATGGTCTTTCTTGTTTTTCTCACTGTGCAGAGCAAACAACTACCCAACTTTAAGTTTCATACCCATCCATCATACTGCAAGCCATACATGCATGGCATGGAACCATGCTACTTCACATTTTTATTCATTCCCTCTGCCACTTGTCTACGTATTTCTCCCTTCACTCACACTTGTGTCTTTTACTAACACCTCTCCACACTTACCTTTCCTGCCTTTTTCATTCCTTCTCTCACATTCATAATTACACCCTCTTCACACTATCCCCTCTTTCTTCTCCTTTGTAACACCCTACAGATCCTACAGATCCTCCCTTGGCCGCAAAAAAAAGTAATGGAGAGAAGAAGGAAAGAAGTGAGTGATTCTATATAACAGGCAGTGATAAATGCAGCATACCCCTTGAGTGAGGTCCTTTGAGAAGTACTCAAGCGCTATCCAGGTTACCCAGAATTTCCTTCAGCAGACCCCTGCTTTCTCCAGATCGTGGGTCATCTTCTAAATCTGTGCTTCATTGGGTAGAAGCTTTGCTTTTCTTTGCTCAAGGATTAAACCCAGAGGTATACAAGCAGGCAAGGTGACACCAGATTCAATACACTATCGCATGCCTCTGCCAGGCCTCACTTGTTCTCCAGGAAGCCTATATGTTTACCTAGCTTCCATCCCTTTTTGCAGGTAGTTTTTCTGCATCAAGGTGCATTAATTTTTTCCAAAAATAAGCAGAGCATTAATTGTTCCAAAAAGCCTGCCTCTGACTATCAAGGTCTTTGCCCTGTCCAGCCTCATCCAGGTGTAGAGACAATCTCTTTCCAGGCATCCCATAAACACTGATGCTGCTGAAGTGACACTCTCCTTTATGGACAAACCAGCCCAAATTGGGTGGCTAAGGAAGAGTCCTTCATTTTCTCTACAAGGAATTCACTGTCAACAAGTCATGTGAGAGAGAGATACAGAAAATGTGCTTGAAGATGCTGAGTGGCTTACCTCACAGGATAAACTCTAGGGTTTATAAACAGCTTGGCCATGGACTGCCTTCCTCAAGCCACAAACACCAGATAGCTTCAGTTCCAACCATCAAATTACACACGTGGTAGCAAACAGCATATGCTGTCAACTACATGACTTGCCGTAAAGACAACATCAACAACAGTAATTAATGTACTCAGTCCTGCTTATCCTAGCAATCCTAGAACCCCTTTCCAAACTTCAGACGTCATTTTATGGCAACCAAGCTCAGGGAAAATGGCCTGGGTCAGATGAACAAACGTGATGGGCTACTCTTACCCATCACAAAACAACTCTTCAACCATAAGCAGTAAGCTAAAGACCTGGCCTAAGGGAGGAGAAACTTATGACAGCCTTGCAGGTGTTGAGTATATAACAATTTCTCACCTAGTCTCTTCTTTAGTAAAATAACGGATCCAGTACTGCTGCCCAGTACCTATTCCTCCTCTAGTAAACCGAAACATTATACAATACAAACATTATACAATTTCCATTGGTCTTAGCAATATATAAAAACATATTTTAATAACTTCAAAGTGTTGGGCCAAATTTGATTAGCCAATTTTTCTTTTTCTCTGTTGCTGCTTCTTCTTCTCTAAAGCTAAGAAAACATGCAAAATTTCTACCCAGAGAAAAAGACCTTTTTGTGGTTTATTATTAAAATATAAAGGCAACATATATAAACAACAGGACATGCCAATCTTACTCTGATTAACTCTTTCCAAATTTACCAAAACTTCATAACTCAACCCAGGTTCTCCATATGCCAGCCTCTAAATTACCTGACAGATAGATGGTCGAGTGTAAAAGCAGAATCAGTCACATCAATGTAGTAAGATGACTGAACAAGACCTCGGTTATTTCCAGTTACAGCAGTTCACTTACCCTATAGTAGTCTGTGCTGTACACATCTCTAGACATCCCAAAATCCCCAATCTTCACCAGCAGGTTCTCACCAACCAGGCAATTCCGGGTAGCAAGATCCCGATGCACGAAGTGTTGGGATGCCAGGTAAACCATACCAGCTGCAATCTGCTGGGCAATATGAAGCATCTGGGATTGGGTCAGCTCAGCAGGACGGTTGCCTTCTGCCATCAGTACTGCATCTGGTCCATGTGCCCTGCACCAAAATACAATCTGATTAAGTGATAGGCCGCTTGTAAGCTAGAGAGGTGAAAGGCATAGTAAGCCTAAAACCCCAACTAACTCGCTCAAATATAATAACAAAAATGGCTATAAATTCATTGATGAAATAGGGCAAAATCTGTATCTTGGCTTTTTTCATTTACTGTTTTCCTTCATTGTGTGAAAGATAGGTGGTACAAAGAGCATTACGCAACAGGTGATATATTGCTTATTGAAATAAGGCACATGCATTCAAAATAACACTCCTCTGTCAAAAACTACCTTTCTCTTGTTCCATTCTAGTAATCTAGTAACCTGGATACTTTTAAGATTCGGCTGGATGTGGTGCTGGGGCATCTCGTCTACACCATGCTTTTGCCAAGAAAGGTTGGACCAAATGATCCTTCCAAGCTGGTATTCCATCATTCTGTGATTCTTTTCTAGAGAAAGGCTGGCAAATGCAGCTGTTTTGTAACTGAGGAAAACCTTATCACTCTGTGAGAGTGAAAGGCCATAAAGTGAAAGGCGTAGCATCACTTTTCCTATGACTGTCATTCTTTGATTTCCACAGGGAGACAGTCCATTGACCCTTCCATCTTTTCTTAAAGAAGAAAGAGCTAACTTCCTTCTGAGATGCCATCTGAGAAACAAGGGCAGCAATTTTAGATTTATGCTTCTAATTCCCTATACAAATGCATGGCACAAAACTGGTTTTGCTTCTTTCAGCACTAAGGGTGAGTCCTGCCTGAGATAGGAATTCTTCTTCACAATAGGAAGAGGACACAAAACACACACTATCTATCTGGAACAACTAAAAAGCTTCAGAAACGTGAGCTTTTCAAGACCTAGCAAGTCCCTAAGATGCAATAATCAACTGATTAATGAGAAACTTGTATACGCTCCAGCAGAAGGAGAGCCGTTTTGCCTTTAGAAAGCCCAGCAAAGTACTGTAACACATGTGGTTCACCCATCTTAACTACGTTAGCTCTGGTATACATGTGTAACATCCTAGTATCTTGAAGACAGAAACACAGAAACATTCCTACACACAACATTTTACAGTTAGAATTACTAAGTAATCCTTATCCAATTAATGAGGTCATCTGGCAATCATTCTTCACATGATAGACCTCATAATGTTCTGAATATCTCTGTCCATCCATTTCATTATTCAGGGTTTTTGGGAGTCTTTTTTATTCGATTCCTGCAGACTATTCTTTCTGAGAGATCACATATCTCCTCGTCCTTCCTCAACTTTTTTTTTTTTAAATACTCTAGAACTGATTTTTATTTTCTCTCAAAAGTCCTTCCTTCCTACAAAAAGGAGTTGCAGAGAATCACCTTTCTAATCAACAGAGGTGAAGCCTTAATTTTTCCCTAAGTAGAAGGCACAGGATTTTGGAAAAGAGTTCCAAATGAATCAAAATCTGAGATCAAATCTGACACTACCTATTAGAAATATGATATTAAAATTGCCCCAAGGGAAGAACTTCATGAGTGAAGTGACAGATGTGAGAAAGAAATGAAGGAGGGTGTCTATCATTGCTGGGATTGCATCTAGTACCAGGCAAAGAAGCTCTCTTCCACAGTGTACATACATTCAACTGGTCTGGGTTGGTGGGGGGATAAACTGAGGGATATGAGATCTCCAACCAAGATTCAGAGGCAAATTGCTATTGAAAAGCACTGTACCTTCTCGTTGCATGGATTTTTTTAATGACTGCTCTCAGACATGAAGCTCTGAGTCGCTAAATAAGAGAACTCTTCATCTTTTGCTAGCTTCCTTGAGGACATGGTCTGTATCTAATGGAACTTGTGGATTATTCTTAGCACTCCATCCACCTTGCTGTCCTCTTGGTGCTGGCTGTAAATGAGGTGCTCCTCAGTGTCTGCATTGACAGAGATTTCTTTGGATCCGCTAGCCAGAACAAGCATAGGGCAGGCATGACTTTGAGGCTTTAGTCCTAGGTCTGACACAGCCCTTGGCTGCGTGCAGATAGCAAGACTCATTGGGGTTAAATTTCGATTTTTGTGTTTCCCCGACAGCCTTTGGTGGCGCTGCAGGGTAAGAAATACAGACTTTTACTTACAGCCTGCTCACAACCAACCTCCGATCTGCAGCACAGGCTGCAGCAAATGTGAGAGGAATGACAAATTGGAGCTTAGGTTTAACAGCTTGTCCCAGCATAATCATTTTATGTTCTATAGACAAGGGCTGATTAATAATTTAAAAAAAAAAAAAAAAAAAGAGAGAAGATCTAAAGTAGGAAATATACTGTCTGATAAACTACCTTTCTGTACAATAATTAAAAATCAGAGATAGCAGGTAAGAAAAGGCCAATCAAAAAGAATAAAGGGTAAGTATTTCTTATGAAATAAGAAATTATTTCTTATCAGCTGCAAATCTGGTTTCTTCTAATGGAAATTCAATGTTCTGAAAAAGTACTGGGATGGCATCTTAGGAAACTGCTATTCTCTCCTGGTCTAAGCAGAGGCCCAAGCTAGCAAATGTAAATGCTGTGATACAGCTCTGATAACATACTTAAATTCTCTGCCAGAGAGACAATCAGTTTCAGAAAAATAGTAGGTTTTGCTCCGCGTCCCCAGTTCAGTCCCCAGTCTCCCTGCCAAATCTGGATGCTAGTTGATGTTATTTGCTTTTACAGTGTGGCTATTTGTTCAGTGAAGATTAGGTAGACAGCAAACTCATTTCACATAGGCTATCAAAAATGCATAAATGGTGATACCGTTTATTTAGTCACTAGCCATTTTAGTCAGATAGAAAATCTGAATCCACTTAAAGGAACGTGAGTTTTGATTGTTTTACAGCTGTGTCACGGATATCATTCCAAAATGGTGGTACACCTAGTTATCTTAATCAGGAGAGATCTTGGTAAACTGTGATATCCTTCAGTGAAAATGAAGACCTTGAAAGAACAGTCCCTTATGCAAATGGGTTTTTTAACATAAGAACAAAAGCTGTCTCTTAACCGCTTATTTTTATGTCAATGGGTGCAGACTAGAGGAAATGGCACATACACAATCCCGCTGTTCATAACTTCCCGGGTCATGAGTTACCTATTATTGTGAACCTTAGGCATCATCTATTTATTTATGTCTGCTTTACTGCCAGATTTGAATTTCTGATGCATATTCCTGAACAGCGTTATGAAATACAGCCCTAATCTGGACCCCAAGATGTAGCATTTTCCATTGCACTGAAGTTTCCATGGCTTACAGTTTTCTTGCTTCAGATTAATGGCAGTCTTTCCAAAACACTGAGAGGAGGGAAGAGAAAAGGGGTTAGATTTCAAAAGTTCTTAGATGTCTACAGATAGTGATAGGTGTTGAGTGGGATCTTCGCAAGTGCTACCAGAAAGCCTGCAAGAAAATGATTCCTACTCTAAGATATATAACCAAACAATTCAGAATACACTGAAATATATTGAAAATATTATTTCTCTGGTTCCCATTACTTTTGCGCAAAGCATAAGGCTTGACTTAATGGTTCTTCCAAATTAGACAAAGAAACAATAAGCCCCACATCCCCGTACAGGAGACAAGAGTTTCACAGATTTGCACTTCCTAGGTGTCGGCATTTTCCAGTGGTAGTAGTTAATTTTACATTAAGTGCGAGTAACACCTACCTTCTATGCCCACTTTTGGCTCTCCAGCACAATATGTGTTCGTGGATTTACCTGAGGAATTTGTTAAGATCTCCGTGCTTCATATACTCAAAGACCATGATGAGCGGATCACCCTCGACACAGACACCGTAGAACTTGACGATATGCTCATGTTGCAGGTTAGTTAGCAGCTCTGCCTCGCGGTGGAAGTCCTTGCGGGCATTGTCGCTGGCATCCTTCAGTGTCTGGAGGAGAAAACGAAAATGTAAGGAAGGGGAGATATTTGCAGAAGGTAGCAAACACGTGGGATGGCACTGAAGGGGTAAGATAAGGACACTCTGCTGCATAAAGGATTAAATAAGTACTTTCCTAATAATTCCCTTAGAAATGCAGACACGATGTTTAAGTGCAATTAAATAATAGCATTACAATTTTCACTCTCCCGCCACATGTCATCCCAAACAACGATTTTTGTTGTAAGAGTGTGTAGGAATACTCATGATCTTACTATGCCAAGTGTTCTCGAAACACAACAAATAAACTGATCTTACCCAAAAAAATATACTTAGTACACAGCTGGTTCATATCCTTTAGCATTTAACTCAGGCAAACCCTCGTATCCTGTCAGTATTTACCTTTCTTGTAAGTTTTTTACAATAAAACTCTGCTTGCTCCGTGGGAATGTAGATGCATTCTTCATATATTACTAATGTCATTGTTGCTGATGTTGGCCCCTATAGTGTGCTACATATTAGGTAGATTTATACATGGGTTTTAGCCCTGGACCAGAACTTACGACCTGAGACTTCAGCCAGAAATGCCTTTAAAACTCAGCAAATCTACCCACATGCCTAAGATTTAGCATATGTATAAGTAACTGGAGGATCAATCCTACACTGATAGGAAGCAGATCCAGATCAGAATTCCGGGGTTTCCATTTTTCTCACTCCCTTTTATTTATACAGCTCTAAACTCCTGCATATTTTCATTTTGATGGAAGTATATCAACAATGGATCAAATTGAAGGCTTAAACATTGTATAATGAAATAATGCTAATTTAATTGCCACACCTAGGCAGTTTCAAATCCCTTCTTGAGAATTACACTTCCTGAGCAAGGTGTGCGCACTTTCATGCACTAAAAAAAGCAAATTCTGACACCATTTAAATGAGGACTAACTATAATTGACAATAAACCACTAGCAGGCTTTACTTTCAAAAGGTAGAGTGGTTGCACTACGCTGGTTCAAACAATATTTTTAAAAGAGTAAGAGAAAGATAGTAAGTTACCAATGTTCATAAAATTATGATTCACAGAAACTGATGTCTGGCTCTGTTATTCTGGATTTTAACTACACCTAGATTTAATACAAAAGACACAAAAGTAGTGGCATTGTTTTAACTAAAGATGCTCTTTCCTGGCTACTTTATTTTCTACCCTGAATTCATATACAGACTATGGGACCACCACATTCGGCAGAACAGACACTGAATGTGTTGATACTGTGCAATCATTCTGACAACAAACCCAGTTTTTAGCTGCAGTGGCCATGGTTTGCTCAGAGTTTTTCTTTAACAAAGACAATTCTGTCTACTTTTCTAGTATTATACATATGCATGTGTGAAAAAGGGACTAAAAGATGACTGTTGGAGAAAACGCTTGTTTTACTGGTGAAACTGCAACCACCAGTCTTGAAATATGAACACCTACCACACTAAGGTCCACATGGGAGGACAATGAGCAGGGCAGAGCGGGTGGCCATCTACCAAATTCAGGGGCTTTTTTCTGTGGATTTCAGGCTCTATGGATCCTAGAGGCAATAGAAATCACTCATGCCACAGATGTCTCTTCCCTGAGGGGCCCACTAACTTGTGAATCTCATGAGTTCTCAGGCCCAGAAACTCTCTTCCACAAGTTTTACCAATAACGATGCAACAAAGATATTGCATCATCAAAGCTTCACTAGTTATTAAATATTAGTATATGTAGCTATGTCATCTAAGGTGGATATCAAAGTGTCTCCTCACTATGGTCCCCAAAAAGTAACATCTGAACCAAGTGAGGACTGAAATTGAAATGTATTCCACTGCTTTCAAGCTCTGGAATGATGGTTTAACATGATACAGGCACCAGTCCACAGTCCAATCTATGCTATATAATGAAATCACTGGGAACAATTCTGTTGTCACTTGGGTTTCCTCTGGTGGTTTCATGTGTAAAGCAATTGGACTTTAATTCTTCTCAACAACAGAATTAGAAAAACAATTCATATAAAACCCATTTTTAAATAATAGCAACCTGGAAAAAAAAATGACAGGGAGAAGCACAGGTTGACGCTCTTTCCAACAGGCTCTTTCCTTGGAAAGGCAGTAAAAAAGCTGACAGCTCTGCCCTATGAGGATGGCATATTGTATATTTCAGAAGACACTTTTTATCTCACAGAAACAGCAAAATTATCATATGAGAGAGCAGTTGCCATGGCAATTACACATTTTCTGTCAAACAGCAAAATACAGAAAGGTCTAAAATCCAGGTAAAACTCAGGCAGGGTTTCTACAACCAAGGGGGGACTTGAATTTCTGTCACCCACCATTGCAAAACCCCCTTTTTGTTATTGCATGCAGCTCATAGAAGAGACACAATGCATGAGAGATAGCTGACACAGTCAGGCAAGGAGGAGACTGGAAAGTGAAAAAATTAGGCACATAGAATTTCCATAGAAATGACATTGATTAATGCGTTTAGCTTGTTCTCAGTGCAAGAGAAAAAAATAAAACCAAAATAAAACCATAAGAGCACAAAGAAAGAAAAAGACATATTCATTTTTATTATCATTACTGGTAAGTACGCCAAAGTTCTACATACAAAGCACTCTCACCAGTTGACAGGAGTTTTTCTTGAGTAGGAATTGAGATACAACCACATGTACTTTCCAACCACTGAGGCGAGCATCTAAGGAGGAGGGACGCTCCCTTGGGCAACAGAGGGACCCCCTGGCTGTTACAGGAGTTCCACATCAGCTGAGTTCATCCTTGTGACAGCTGGACTGCCTCCTCATGCTTATTCTCCTCCACAGAGTCCTTGCCCAGGTATCCACATACCATCTGGTCTCTGCAGACCCGTGGTCTGTAGCAAGTGCAAAATGCCAGCTCCTTAGTCCACGCTGACACCAGAGAGCTGCATTCACAGATGAGTCAGAGTAAGAGCAAGGGGATGTAGCTCTCACCAACATCAGTATAACTTGGTAATGAAACTCTCATGACAGTTGTCCTCTATACAGTTTCATCCTTCCCCTATGAAATCCTTACTACTGCCCCCCATCACCATACAAGAGCTGAGTGGTATATTTCCTCAAGAAAGGAAGGGGTGGTTTTGAACCTTCTCTAAATTAAAGACTGGAAGAGCTGGAAACCTTTGGTTTTCCTCTGCAGGTGCTGTAGAGATGTTCTTTACCTCACTCATATGGCAGTCTGGGAGCTGAGCACAATCCTAGAGCAGCACAGGGTGAATCCCCCTCCAGCCTCCCAGAGGAACCTGAGGCAGATGATAATCTGTGCCCCGACAGTCATCCTCACCTCCAGCTCCAGCCAGGTTTACTAGTGCAAGACTACGCCTGGGGATCCAGCCCTATGAGGTGACAATACAGGTCCAGGCCTGAACAAACACTGTGGCATGGCAAAATGGCCTGTAAGGAAACAATGATTTTTCCTTCCTTCACCCTCTGTTCTCTCAAAGTGCCTGCAGCAAATGGTGTACTGATGTGATGTGCAAAGTCACCCAGGGGGAAGGCTAGTAAAATGTCCATGCAACCAGCTTAACCTCTGGTTGAGCTCTCTGCTCACAGGGTCTTACCCATAGAAAGCATTTCCAAACACTCAGTGTTCCCCTCAAAAAGCTTGATGGTCGAAACAAATTTACACAGATTGTCTTACTCATCTTCCAAGGAGCAAAAGCTCAAGCACTTTGGGTTGTTTATGCTAAGCCTGACTTTGGATCTTCCCAGATTTTTCTGGGCCTCTTAGCTCCTAAATTATTTGCTGCAGCAATGCCAGCATTTCAGATACCAGCTGGCCAAACAAAGAGAAGGATGCGTGTTGAGTCAGACGGAGTGATGCTCAGGGCCAGGCATGAACCATACAGTTGCCCAGCAACCAGCAGGCACAGGCAGCCAGTGGGGACCACCAGCCATCCCAATCCACCCCGGGCAGGTAAGACCGTGCCTCCTTGCTGTCAAAATTCCCTTGGCACTGCCTTGCTCCTCACCAACGACACATTCCCACTGGGGTCACTGAACCTATTTCCTGGAGACAACTTTGTTGTGGTTTTGCTCAGAGGGGTGAAGTTCTCTAAAACCTGTGGTGTGGGTCAGGAGGAGCTGCTCCTCTAAGACTAAAAAAAAAAAAAAAATCACACATTTTCACAGCCAAACCCAGGGCCCAGCAGTGGTGTCCAGACACAGTCTTCTGGCTATCTCTCTGCATTATCAGTGAAGTCCCATCCCTGGACCTCCACTGTGACGGCAGGACACCTGTTGGTACCACAGTCAATGAGAGAAGCACCAGGCAGTTAGCCCCTATCTGATATGGGAATCAATCCAATGGCACAGCATGCCAAAAAATTTGCTCTATGGCAGCACCCAGAGTCACATTTTCACGCGCAAACGTGAGAAACACTGTAGGCATAACATGTCCCCAGAGGTAACTCTTCCCACAGCTGCCTGCAAGATCCTTGTTAAGGACACTACAAAGAGTGGATTTCGTTTGGGAAAAAAAAAAAAAATGAAGCATGACAAGTGGTCCAGAAAACTGATATATTTGTCATCTAAACCCATGGAGACATCTCTCCCTTTTAAAGCTGAATGCTCTTCCTTGTGAATTACACTAAGAAAGAGCAGCAGAGAGAAAGCATGGCACACCATTTAACAGCAGCAGTGTTAGGCTCCATTTGGTCAGGACTTTCAAAGGGAGAAAGTGAATGAAAAGACTTTTATTTTGCTATCAAGCAGTTCCCTGAAGTGATAGAGGAAAGGTAATTTCCACTCTAGCTTCACCAAAATACAATAGAAAATTCATTCAGATCTAGTTTTGTCATCTCCTATCTCTTGCATTCTCCTGTCTATGATATATCCCTTCAGGGCTTAATTTTTTCTCACCAGTCAATGTTCCTGAACAACTTCCAAGTATCAAAAAGCTTATAACCCTGGCAAACCCCAAAAACCTGTTATCTTTGATGGAACAAGAAAGCACTCTACAAGTCCATCCTCCTTTCATGTTCTCTCACTGCTAGACCCAAAAGTCTATTTCTTATTTCCAAATTCAAAAAGATGGTCTACTTGATTCCTTTTACTGTATGATTTGACCAAAAATGTACAAATGGTTGTCTAATTGCGACTGGTCAAACAATATTATTTTCTGATCCCTAGGCACAGCCCAAATTCTAAATGTGTATTCCCCCTGCATATAATGAGATACTTCAAATGCTGAACACCTTGTTCAGCTTTTGGCAGAACACTGCAGCTGGAGATAAGAGATTGTTGTCAGGGAGACTTTGCAAACTCTTAGAACGTAGTTTCACTGATACTGTTTTCTGCTGTACGAGGTCAACATTGAACCTCAGCCCTTCCATTCTGAGAGACAAAAAGGCTTGGTACAGTGAAGCAGGCTTGGTGTCCCAGGTCTGATATCAAGCTGAAAATCTTCTTACTCCTTGGTAGATTCCCAATGTACCATGCAATCTGTGCCCTTTAAGAGAACCAAGCAAATCCCTTTTTTTGTTGTTTTGGGGGTTTTTTTGTCCCCCCTCCCAGCCCTGAAATGTGAGAACTATTATGTATACTTTAAATTCTAAGGTTATTGCCATTTTCATGTAGTTTCCTTCTCCCCTGGCTTGTGTTTTGGGAGAGCTGACTGTAGCTTTATAATAAAGAGCCGCTCCTCTAGGTCTGACATATCATGACATCTGGATTTCCATACAGCCTGTGTTTAACAGCATATGACAATATTATCCACAAGTTTGTTATAACAATCCTGGCAGCTTTACAAATGACAATTATCTACAGACAATTTCAGTGGCTGACAAAGAATGGCACAATCCTGAAAAAGAAAGGTCTTCTTTGACTAGCAATTATACACATAACCTATTCACTTAGCTAGTAATTGATTATTTTTTTAGACACACATATATGTCACATGTAATTTTAATGACCTAGACGCTATTTTTCACTAATTATACTTCAGATAGATCATAAAAGATTTTGCCCCTTTGTGACACAATGTTTCCTGTTTCCCCTCTTTTCCCTATGAAATTCAGACCTCATTTTATACTCCACAGCAAGATCAAATATCGCATTCTCTTAACACTCCATTAGCCTTGTGAACCCTCCCACATATATCAGAGCAGTTACACTGGGCTACGGAATAAGAAAACATCACCATTTACAAACAAAATAGCATTAGTTGCAACTATGAATTAATAATGGGAACTCTAGATTCTTTTACCTTCACTGCCACCAAGATCTTGTCCTGCTCGGGACAGAGGTTATAGCATTCCGCCAGAAAGACTTTTCCAAAGGCTCCTTCTCCCAGTTCTCTTTTGAGGACGATATTATGGCGCTTGATGTGCTGCACAACTGCGAAGAGAAGACAAAATGGAGGTCAGAAGTGAGCTGCAAGGCCAGGATGAGACAGGATCCATGCTTTCGGCCACGCGGAGACAGGGTTGTCTGTAGAGTGGAGTGCGTGTTGTGGAAGGAATCAAAGAGCCCATATGTCATTCGTTAGTGCTTTGCTCAAAAAGATCAAGTTAATATATTTCTATTCGGGTAGTAGCATATTTGCTGGATAAAAAGACATGGAATTAAGAGCCACCTTTATCATTGTGTTACAATGACTGCTGCAGAGCACACATAACAGCCAAAGCTGCTGCTTTTTTTTTTTTTAAACATGAAGACAAAGAATCAGAAAGCAACCCAAACCTTTCTCACATCACTTCTATTTTTGTACTTCTAACAATAGCTAAACTTTCTCATCCAAAGCCAAAAAGTTTTAAAATTAACCTAATCCAAGAAAACAAAACGTTCACTGTTTCAACTAAATCCAACTTACTCTCTGGTTCTCTTATCACTTGTTCAACTGCTTTCCCTGTCTGTGCTATACTACAATTACAATAAGATAGAATTTTTTTTCTTGCAAACATGATTTACAATATTGCTCTGAAGTAAAAGAAATAAAAGATGGACAAAGGTTTTAGACAGCATAGTGGACAGAGCCTTAGCTGAATTGCTGCCCAGAATCAATTGATTCAGACATTAAAGTCCTTGAGCATTTTTGTTCGAGTCATTTTACATTGTCCTTTCAGCATAAGCTTCCATTAAAAGATTTAATATTTAAAAGATTGTACCGAATTTTGTAGAATACATTATCAGTTTGCAATGTTCAAGTTAAATAAAGCAGCTTTAAGGGCAGTTTAACAGGCCAACTCAACAGGGTTGACAGCTTGTGTTGCTGAAATTGTACAAAACAGTCAGCATCTACTGATGAATTTAACCTCGGTGCATTTAGCTGCTTTTGCAAACACTGAAATTTAACACTGCCTAGATAAAGCCTATTTGTAACTTAAATCCTAAACACAATGAAGGAAAAAGTGGTGCACGGGCATCAGGCTGGCTTCTGCAAAGTCACCAATCTCACCTTGGCTGCTTAAGTGTGGGGACCACAACTGAACCCTATATATGTTTAGGATATATTCAGATGCAGACTGATCCCTGCCTCCACGTTTGGCCACACGTCTGTTCCAAACTGGGTGATCTCTTACGCAGAATGCACATTGCTTCCACTCTTAAAAGATGGAAAATGGAGTGCTGCTGGTAACGGCAGTGGGGAGACAGGGCACAGCCTGTCCCCACTGTTGTCACCAGCCTTTGGAGAAAGGGCCCACAGTCTCTATGAGATAAAGATACGTGTGTCCCACACCCTGACCCTATAACAACACAACCCCAGTGCACTGCATGTAAATGCACTTTGTATCCATGTGTGTGCATGCGAGAGGAGTCCAGTGTTGGAGCACAGGAGAGCCAGAGATGTCCCCAGGTACCTCCATCATAAGTCTGCCAGGCAGACAGCACACCTGAGGAGCAGACCTCCACCAGCCCCAGTTGGCACCTGCCAGAAATCCCCAGGTCGACGTGCAAGCAGGCCCACCATGCCCTGGGAGCGGAGTGAGGAAAGCCAGCTTCTCCCCACACCACAACCGACACACCAGGGCTTGACCTGTCCCTGCAGTTGGTGGCTGCGGGGGGAACATTGCCCATGTCCTCATTCGATGCCAGGTCTCTCAGCAGAGGCCACAGGTCCCATTAATAGCCAAGTACACATGAAATGAGACTGGAAGGTACCAATATTTTTCACTCTTGTCAAACTCCCGTCTAGCGTAAGATCAGATTTTATTGTGGTGAAGCACTTACATGGGTACGCTTGCTTTGGCCAGCTACCTGAGCAGCTGTCCTGCAGAAAGTAGGAGTTTGCTTTATATTTTCACATCCTCCTCAGCACTTGCTTTTCAAGGTAAAGTATAAAATGTAGTCAGCACAAGACATGCCTGAACCAAAACACACCTTTTCCCCATAGAAGCAAGCTAACTGGCATCCCTCACTTCTCCCAATACCAGTGGCAAGGCAGACATGCAGGCACACTGCCTGAGCACAGGAGCATGCTTTAAAATAATAAATCTGTGCTTTAGAAAATGCCTACTAATAAATGAGCACTCCCCACGACCTCCTGCCAAACCTGCCATTCAACCCTCCCTCTTGGGGGAATTCTTCTGTTTGCCTCTACTTGACCAGTATCACCAGCAAGGTGGCTCTCTTCCTTTCCTAGACAGAGAAGGTCAGCTCCACGTCACCAGTCTCATCATCTTAAAATGTCCACAAAGCCTAGAGAGAGGCAGTAGGGCTGAGATCCTGTTCTACTGGCGTCAGCAGCAAAACTCCAGCAGAGGCAGTTTTTCACTTGGTTGTCTCCACAGCTGCCAAAAACCTGGTGATGAACACAGTCCACTTTCTGACTTTTGTGTGGGTCCCCTCCATTTTGAACCCAGCACACCCCTAATGTTGGCCCTAGCAGCACAAAGGAGTTTTGTGAAGTTCCTGGAGGACTTCACAAACAATAGAGTAAAAGTAAATAAGAAACATATCAACTGTAGTACACTTACAGCTGCTGCTAAATGCTCTTATATAAACCAAGCATTTGAATAAACAACCCATCCCATAAACCAAACTGTTAAAACTGAAACACAGCAAGCTGCAGAAGAGATCTGCACAGAATATATTTGCAACTTGTCATGCTCTATCCATTCCTCTTACCTTTCTGAGCTGCACCAAGTTACTAAACAAATAAAAAGTGACAGTAAATGTGACTATATGGGCAGAGATTAAATATAAGAACAATGTAAGTAAATCAAACACATATGATGTGATGGAAATATGAGCTAAGGAAAAAAATCCGTTTAGCACACTTAGGGCCCCAGCCATAATGACACCGTTTTCAGTGGGAGGAGATTTCAGCTGGAGATACACTGAAAAATTCAGGTCAAAATCTGCTTTCAGTTAATATCAGGATAAAGCCAATTATCTCTGTTGAAGTCCAAGAGATTATCCTGGATTTATATTGAAGAAACAAAGCAGAATCTGGCCAAAGAGGTGGCAGATAACTGAATTACCAAAGAAGTGGTCTCATAACGTTGTCTCATATGCAAAGATACACACATATTCAAAGGGCAGTTATGTATTTTCCTCCTTTTGGGTCTAAATGGTGATTGCCTTTGAGCTGCCATTTGTACTTTCAAAAGCACATCATCCCTGGTTTAAAAGATCTTGTGATTACTGTAAAAAATGCATTCCATTAAGCTAAAAGCTAAGTCGGGTTGAAATACTTAAGAAAATAATGAAACATAAAATATGAAGTGAGACTGAGCAAACTAAACACGGATAAATGCCAAGAGGAGGCTTTGGTGTTAAATAATAACTACACAGCTGTGCCCATAAAAGCAGGGGACTCCCACAGATGACTGCAGGGAATCAGCTGGCAACAGGGAGCACAACTGCAGGAAAGGGCTCTCTTCTTATCTTGAGGTCTCAGAGACATCCCACCAACAGAGCTGGACTTCTAGGACTTCTAGGTATTCCACTCACTAACAAACAGCAGGTCACACTGGAAACGACGCATCAAACCCTTATCCTGCAAACACTATCTGCAGGCATGGGATGGCACTCCCCAAGTAACCTACCTTTGATGGTGAGGTTGAACAGAGAGGGTCACACCATGTTCTGGAGTGGGTCCCGTCAAAATGGGGAACTCGAGATCACGTCAAGTGATTGAATTCACTGGGTTGGATGTGACCGATTCCAGCCACAGACAGCAGGACACTCAGCAGTATAAATTATTAAAATGTTTCTGCATGTAATTAAAATTGAAATGCTGTGACAGAGTGAAAATGTTTTACCCTTGGCCACAAACAGTAAGTCTGAACAATTTATCACCACACGTGATCATTATACACCTAAGTTGACCTTCCACACAGCACAGTATTGAGTTAAATGACTTGTGCATGGCAGAAGACTGCCTCCAGAAAGCAGCTGTGCCAGTCTTGATTTGAAACTTTGAGCTATTAACTTGCCCTCATATGCAATCATTTTCAATGTGCATGAATTTGCATGAAAATGCATGCCTTTTTCTGTGTCTCTTATTTTTTAGCTTGTCTGGTTTGCATCTCCCTCTCTTGGATTTTAGGAGACCTTCTCTGCTAGCTTGAGCAACCTTTTAAGGTCTGGTACTAAATATACATAATCAACACTGTTCTTGTTCATCTTGGTAAGGCAAAGAGATGGAAGCCTCTCCCAGGAAAACATTTTCTCCAGTTTGCCATTCATTTTTATGGTTCTCCTCTGGCAAAATTTTCAACAACCTTTTAGAAGAAGTTTTTTCCAGTTGTTCTTCCCAACTGGAAGCCACATGCTTGTGTCACTCTCCACAAGGTTGTGATTTAAAAAAAAAAACAACAAAAAAACCAAAACATCAGCTCCCTGTATCTCTGTCTAAAAATCACAAAAGTCCTTTTAAAGCTGGGTGTCCTAAAGAGCACAAAAATTATAGTTATGTGGTGTGCATGATTGTGTCTCAGCTTGAACACCTCACCCAATTACAGTACCACAAGTGCTGCAAGTTTCAGATGTGTTCCCATATGCCTTACGGGCAGAGCAGAGGAGAGATCTGTCCTGGGGAGAGGCTGCAACATGGAGCTTGATGGACAGTAAGAGCCATAGCAGACAGGCTCCATCATCGCTGCGTACTGAACTACCAACACTAGAAGATCCTGTTGTGGCGCATGTCCACTTATATCATCTGCTGAGTCTGCTTTCTAGGACACTGTCCAATTTGCTAGCAGTACACATGTGGAACACTCCTGATGAAATGTGTTATGCCAGGACTCTAAGAAGAGAATGAGGATCTTCAAGATGCCAAGTAAACAGGCAGTTAATATAAACTTATTTAGAGTTGCATAAGAAAAAAGCAGCAGCAGAAAAGACTCAGCTTGTGATTTCACAAGGTGCCACGAAAAGACATTTTGCAAGTT